AAAGACGCAATTTTTCTGAGAGGCGCTCTTGCTGAGGTGATCCCAAGGCGTGCTGAGAAGCTTCGCATGGTTTCCGCACATGTGAAGTAGACAGGCAGCGTGTGACCCTGTCCAACCGTCACAGCAGCGGGTTCCATGGAAGGTACCCCTGCACCACCAGCTGCAGCTGCAGTCGCCCTTTGCTCCTCCAGTTGGGCCTGCATATGCTGCATCTGGCCTGCCATTTCGGCGACCACCCCTGTGAGCTGGCCGATAGCTGCTTGAAGAGCAGCTCCACCTTGAGCTCCGGGGTCGACCGTCGTCTACCATGGCGTTGGAAGAGGGAAGCTCACAGAGAAGGCAGAAACGGAGGGAAAAGCAGAGAAGAAGGTAGGTGAGCTGAGGAAGAGAGAGAGAAGGAAGCTAAACCCCTGATACCAATGTAATCTCAGGCTAATTTCATAAGGAAATTGGAGACTTATACACTAGTAGGGAGCTTAGCGGGAAGAGCGGAGCTCGAGAGTTGAGAAACTTGCTAGAGATTGGATGCCTCAAAGTGACTTGGAAACCAGGAATGAGGTCTTACACGGTGGAGAAGTCCAGCTTTATAGTTGAGCGCAGCAAAGCTGCAGCTTCAGTCACAAGTTGCAAGATAACATAACAAGCAAGACTAGCAAGCGTAGATAAGCAGACTTAACGGTCAAAAGCAGCAAGTGACCGTTAAGCAATGGCGACACAGCAAGCATCGAACGGTGCAGAAGTGCCACGTCAACCCTATAAGGGTCGTGGCGACAGAATATACAATAAGATGATGCCACGTGCTACAGGTTCTGTGCATGTTCGACTTTTAGAATGAGTGATCTGCACATTCAACCTAGTTCACCACTCTCGCTCGCCCGATTCTCAATCCGAACTTGGCCCGACCGGGTACGTGCTGGTCACGATCCTAAATTCCCGATTTACAGTGCATTTGGCATGTTTCCGCATCCCTAGTTGCCAGTATTCTGAGCAGCTGGCTCAGCTCACTCAAGAGGAGTGCCTGCTGGCAGTGCACCTTTTGAGGTCGCAAACTTCCAGGAGTTTGTTTAGCTCTCGCGTTTTTGGCGCCCTTGTGCAGGCTGTTGCTGTTGTGCACTCTGGTGATCAGCGAGCGAGAGAGATTGAGCTGTTAGCGTGCCCCTGCTAGATTAGAGATGGAGTTCTTGAGGAGGTGTTCAGGCTTGACGCGATTTGAGGAGGAGTTAGTTGCTCAGAGTAGGAGGTTGGTAGGAGAGGCTATTGGTCTTGGGGAGAGGATTTCACTTCAGGTTTCCAGAGCCACCGGAGACGCTGTTGTTAACGGGTATCAGTCTATCTTCTCTCCTGCCCCTCTCTCGCAGTCTCCTTCTCTTGCCACCAGCCAGGATGACGAGGTCCTCGCAAGCAGCGCCCTTCTCCAGGAGCAGCACACTTGCGAGGAGACCTCTGAGACACAGGGACCTGCGCACACTCATGATCCTTCTTTTGACCTGGTCCCTGAGTCCTCATCCTTGGCTCTTCCTGGCTTGGCTGGCGCACTCCCCTCGTCGCCTCCTCTTTCCAGCAGCCAGGACATCTCCGCTCACAGCCCTCAGCTCGCAGAGCAGCAGACTCTCAGAGAGGACAAGTCAGATGCGCAGGGACCTGAACAAAAACACGACGCTTCTGAAGTTGCGGTCCCTGCTGCTCTTGATTACGAGCTGGTCTCCTCTGCACTGCTTGCAAGTAATGACGTGTCCAGTCCGCTGTTTGAGCGAGGTCTGTTCGGAAGCGCTGAGGGGGCACTGCCTGTAGGTGGGGAAGAATCCTTTGATAGGGAGGAGGGTTCAGGCAGTGTGGGGTCTCAGGAGTTGGTTTTGGCAGAGCCGAGCGAGGCGGCCTGCCGTGTTGAGGAGCTGGAGGGATGGGAGGTTGATCATGGGGATGGGGCTGGGGGTGCGGTTTTCAGAGGCAGGGAGCAGGGCAGCACAATCCAGGACCTTGACGTGCAGAGCCTCTCCCGCATCATGAGCTGCTTGGGGAACGCCTCCCTCCAGGCCTGCTCTCTGGTGTGCCGCGAATGGCTGGTTGTTTCCAACGACACCAGAGACTACTTGACTCTGTGTGGAGGCCCCCAGGTTGCCAGACTTCCCAGGATTGTCGCCCGGTTCTCTGACCTGCGCTTCGTCATGTTTAAGGATCTCGTGAGAAGCTCAGGGGAGGGCCAAGGTCTTGTGACAGCCAGCCTGGATGACGCGTCACTTCGGTTGCTAGCACAGAGCTGCCCGCGTCTTGTCCGCCTGAGTCTGGTCCACTGCGGTGTCGTCTCAGATGAGGGGCTGGCTGCTGTCCTGACGGGATGTCTGGAGCTACGAACGCTGCGCTTGGATCGCTGTGAGGGGTTCCGCGGCAAAGCCTTCGAGGGGGTAAAGTGCAAGTTGGAGGAGCTCTGTCTGTTCTCTTGCACTGGGCTGAAGAACATCGGCCTCTTGGCAGCGGGAAAAGCGTGTCCCGCGTTGCGAACGTTTGATCTCAGGGCGCAGGGGGAGAGGGCAGACCTGGGGGCAGGCCTCAAAAGGGTGGCGTGGCACTGTGGGAAGCTTGAAAAGCTGTTCCTGCAAGCCTGCGGGACCACAGATCTGACCCTGCGCGAGTTTGCGATCCATTGCCCCCAGTTGACTTGCGTTGCAATTATGAGCGAGCCGGACATCACCGACTCGGGCGTTTGGTCGCTTCGATGCCACTTGCGGAGCTTGGAGCGCCTCACCCTGTTGAAGAATGACCAGCTGATGGAGATTCCACGCAGCGGGTGAGTACCCTGGACAATGCTCAAGGCAAACGTGGCGAGGTGCTTGTTCCACTTAGAAGTCATGATGGTGCCAGCTTGATGTTACGAGCCCTCTTATCTGCTCGATTTGCTGTAGCTTTCTCGTGGGTGAATTCGCTGGCCTCTCAGCTGCCCTCTCTGGTGCATCTTGGTTTTTTATGCTCAAGTTAGATTCTTCATTACATTGCAGGCGGTTCCTGCGACTGAAGAGCCTGGGGATCGGGCGCTTCTCTCGCACGCCCGACGACATGCTGCGACGGCTCGCAAAAGAGGCCAGCTTGGAAGACCTGCGGATCATCAGCTGCCGTACTTTGACGGATGCCACAGTTAGGAAGATCCTTCTTGATTGCCGCCACCTCACTCGCTTCGTCATTGCGGACTGCGAGCTTGTGACGTCAGAGATTCTAACGGCTTACAAAGAAAGTAACAGTAAGGCGCGATTAATAATCAGGGATTGCAAGGGCGTGCTGGCGGAAATGGTGCCTGCAGAAATGCTGTCTTCAGGCAAAGTTGTCTTAGAGTAGAAGTATATATCAGGATTAGGAGTATATGGGAATCGAGCAGGTGCTGGAAAATGCACGGCAAGTCATAGGAAAAGCAGGAACAATTCTAGAGTAGAAAATGTTGCATAGTATATCATTTTATTATGACAAGCCCATGGGCTGAGCTGTATATAGACTTAAAGTTTTAGAGTCGACGGCGACTGTCTACAGGACGTGCCTGCGTTATTCCAATGACTGCTGAGTGCGTGTTTTGCAAATATATCGAAGCTCCTGTTGTGTTTGTGCACTTGGGCCGCGTCGCACTGGAAAAGATGCAAGACTCAGCGGAAGCTATAAGCAAGCTTCGATCAATGATCATGAAAATTGAAACTGAGGGAAACTTTTTGCACGCGCCGCGTTGGCATGGTGACAATTACCCCACATGCTTGGCACATGTGCATTAACATGGAAAGTATATACGTAGAGTTACTTGTCAACCGTCGCTATAAGTTGCTCATGCGTGCATTGTATCTTAAAAGCTCGAAATGACAGTACTAGGCGCGCGCGATAAGTGCCCAGCATTCGGGACGATTCAGTTGGGCATTTGTTGTATGAGCTGAGCTTCGATGAGTCGTACCTCCAATGGTATAGAAGCAAGTTTTTACATTGTGATGCTCACATGCTTGCTAGTAACTTGATGCCTACTAAATCATGCATATATGTATCAGAAGGCATCGGCGTGAGCTCGCCTAGAGCACACATCATTGCTAGCCCCCACAACAGATTGTATGACCTTTTAAAAAAAAGTATTGAAGCATGATTAGGGTATCACACCACGCCCACCCTGCGTGTCGATCCGGCCGAAGTCCATGATCGTTGCAGGAAAGAATCAAACTTAGGTTGCTCGTCCGCGTCTACTTGCTTCTTGACTTTACAGAGCACTATCTTGTGTCAATTGTTAAAGAGGCTTTGCAACGCCGGTTATATGCTACCGGTAGCAGTGATGACTGCACATAATCAAGAGGGAATTTGTCCGCGCAGTCCACCACCGTAAGTCATATCCTGGTACCGGAGCTGCCGTCATGAATCACGAGAATCATCCGGTACCCACCCTAACAAAACTCTCATCTTCAATCACCGTCCCGATTCTATAAAGGTGGCCTACAAAGGAAAATCTACGAACTTTTGTAAGGAGTCCTTCTGTACTGTACTCCTAAGCTTAAAGAAAGTAAACTACTTCCAGTATTCCTATAGCTAGAAACTAGGTGGAGGGCTCTGCCGGCTGTCGCTAAAGCTGATGTATTATATATCTGACCTTTTCTGTTTGCACGCGCTTCAAACGTCTTGGCAAGCGGTTTCTTTCTGCCTGCACAGCAAGGATAATGCGTGGAGCTCAGCACTTGTCAGGATACGTGACGTTCCGTGCAACCTCATACTGCAGATCCAACCTGCTTGTACGGTTGCCTTTATTGGGGTTGAGCCGATCAAGCAAGCCTCAAGTCCGGACCAGGCACATGCCAAAAACGTCCATAACGAGAGAGAGAAGAAAACAAAGACTGCCAGAGTCCTTTCAAAGACTCTTCGCTGTTGCCAGGCCACGTTTCTCATTTGCTCGCGACTCGAAAAACGCCCAGATTGGATTCTCTGACATCTCGCTGTGCTGGTAAGCCCCTATACGTCAAAGTTGCAGCATCTCCTGTCAAGGCCAAAGTAGCACCTCAAGAGACATAAAGAGTCGTGACAAGAGATGTCAGGCAAGGGGAATCCGATAAAAGTACTGAGAATTGTACGACAATAAGGAGAAAGTTGCTCACCCGCTTGCCGCAGCCTCTGATGGGCCGCTTCCGTCTCCCCACCCAGTTGTCGCCTCGGCAAAGTCCGCTTCACTCGGGCAGATGGCCCGCTTACCAGCCGTGGACGTCTGCGTTTAGCAGGAAAAGAGGTCATGAAATATTGAGCAGACAGCGAGGTGACTAGAGCGCACCGCCAAAATCCGCAACAGCTTCCGACATATTTCCAATTCATTTCGCCCGGTTGCTGGCTCCAGGCGGGCTGGGAGTGGCAAAAAGACTGCCGCGAAGTTCCGCCAACAGAGAACTTGAGCAATTTTCAGACTCTTCGCAACGCTGAAGGACGCGTTTCATGCACTTGACTAGGATTCTTTGCTGTTAGAGCTCGAGGCTATGGCTAAAGACAGGCGCCATTCCTGAATGGTCTAAGAGCAAAATAAAGAAGAGTAAGCCTGCCAGAGTACAAAGCGATTATGTGTTTTAAGATTGTAGTTCAACCCATACAAACGGTGCGGCCAAAAACGAACCTGGATGATTCGAAGTCCCAGAGTCCGAGGGTTTGCAAGAGAAGATTTGAGGGGCTCAATCTCGTGACCGCTTGCTTTCGAAGAGCGTATTCTAAAGGATAGATCTTGCAGAAAGTGAGAGACGCGATTTGACGCACCTTGGTTGAGGCTTCGATGGGTGGAGTAAGTGCAGTCCTGCGCGCGCTTTCGGGGCCACCGAGCAGCTCATGGAGCCGCTCCAGCTGCAATTGCGGATGCACAATCAGAGGTAGAAGTGGGTGGAATGTATCATTGGAGGCTCGGCTGCATGAGCGACTCGTTGCTTGCTCGGCATACCAACATTAGATCCAAGTTACGTAGACCGAAGCCGTCATAGGACAGCACGATAAGATCGCTTACGAGATACTCTCAGAATTCGAAGAAGGGACGGCGGAGCCCACCTCGAGAATCAGGTCGGGAAGAAAGGGCGCCGCGGAGGGTATCTGCTCACAGGATAAAGAAGAACTCAAGGGGACATCAATCGGATGATAGAAGCGTCTGCGTTTTGCGACAAGACACAGAACAACAGCTGCAAGGATCAAAGTAGGAACCAGACAATGTGTGGCCGACACCGTCAAGGGACTCTCACTCTACGCACGTATCATAGCAGCGCAAGCAGTTCAATGTATTGGTCCAAGAGATTACGATGTGACATGGTTTTGTCATTAGGGGCGTCTGGGAGGAAAGAAAAGTTGGTGTTCAAGCGAGGGCAAGTGGCTGCTACTGAAGCTTGTACGCTGGCAACAAGGTTCAGAAGACCGGCTCGCCACAAGTAGAGGAACGAGTTTCGGGCTTAGCTCCCTTGCCTGAGCTTGAAGGTCAGCCAACAACCGCTCGATGTGATCATTGGCCACTTGGATCTGCACAGGCCACGGCGGGGGTTAGCACAGGGGCACGGCGGTTGTGTTTGAAAGTAGCCCGCGCAATATGCTCTGTCAATGGACTCCACTACATCTTGCAAGGGGCAAAATGACGTCACTCCGTGCTCTTCTGACGCCCTCGGGCATAGAGACGCACCTACTGAGATGGAGGGTCTGGACGGGGATGTTATATGTAGGAGGAATGTCAAGTTATGCGGTTATGCTTCGGCTTTGAGACGACAAGTCTTACCTGGGTCGTGAGATGGCAGACCTGGTCGTGCAACCTCGCCTGCAAGAAGCGAGGCGCCCAGAATCAGAGCAAGCTCCTAAAAACCATAATTCATGGACTTCTCAACAGATCAGGAACCGCGATTCAATAAGCAAAGTTCTCTTTCATCAGAGAAGACTGTTCAGCAGACCCAGGATCTGTGATTCATGGCGCAAACCACCGGCTCGCCTCCTTGACTGAATTTGCGGTGATGCAACCTAACATTGAAGAGGCCGCCCTGCAGGATAAGCAAAGGCTCGCAGTGTTTGCCCGCGAGCAGCGGGACGGTCGCCAGTGACTCGCCGTCAGGAACATGATTGAGGTCGACAATAGCAGGAAATAAGCAGATAAGAAACTTGCCTCCCGATCGCCAGCGGACATGTTCTGCAGAAGGGTCATCTCCTCTACCCTCTGCGGAGATGAGAGGGAAACAATTGAGTGCTTGAAACGAGAACCGAAACGAGCGATGGCAGGAAGGATCGAACAACCTAGCCGTGCCAGGGTCGAAGGGTTTCCTTATTGGTCTGACTCCATACTTCCGCGCGAGTCAGGTTGCCACATATTGGTCTTTAACAACGACCCGGCTCGAATCAGTAACCGATTCCCAAAAATCAAGTGCAACATAGAAAGGAGGAGCAGCTCTACGGTGCACCTAGTCGGACTGCGCACACAATCCTTCCACAAAGGTAGGGACGCGCTGTCAGGTGCCGACCTGCTTCGCACGCTTGAGCTCGTCCTTCTTGACCCGCAGCTCGCTCTCCAGTGTGGCCGCTTTCTCCCGCTCCTCGTTCAATTGTTCCTTCAGGAAATTCCCGACAACCAGCAGCCGCCTCTCTGCCGACTCCGCGGCCGCCGTGGCGTCATTCGCCTTCGTCTACGAAAAAGCAACGGCAAACAAAGGTTATCTGCGGAACCGAGAACGACCGAAACAGGAGAAGCACCAAAGGTTGACGTTTGACGAAGTAGCAGAAGGCTCACAAAACCCAGTGCAGTCGCCTTTTCATTGATGACAGAATACGTAAAAGGCAGCGACCAGGTTTATAGCACCCGGGGGATCCCCCAAAGACAGGCGCCGTGCGTTCCGCTCACCCCAAGGTCCGTTGCCAGCTGCCTCATATCGGACAGTTGCAGCTGAATTTGGTCAGGGGTGGCGTCTGGCAGCTCTGCAGAGGCCTCGGTCAAGGCGGCAGCTTCCTTGAGCTCGCGGGTCAGCTTGATGACCTGCCGCACAGGGAGCGAGAGCGCAATTTTGGTAGGTAAAACGAGGCGGTGGCAGTGTTGACTTCTTAGGAAAGCGGCGCCTTTGTACGGATGGTACAAAATACGAGCCGCTGGTAATCTTGCCGGTAAAACTTCGCCTCTTTTTAGTTTACTAGGCTCAGGGGTTGAGCTTCCTTCCTTGCCAATCGGAAACCGGCTTTTTCGCAAATTCTCTCGTTCTCTTCCAACTTCCCAAAATATGCTTTCAGTTTTAGCTTCTCCTGATCCAGCGTCTCTTCGTGTGACTCTCACCTGAATCTTCGCCGCCCGGACCTCAGACTCCCGCTCCGCCACCGTGCGCGCCGCCCGCTCTAGTTCTTCCCTCGCCGCTTCCAGCTTCTCCTGCTCCGCCAGGACTACCGCCGTCTGGGCGCACTTGTCCGCGCGCAGCATGTCGAGCTCTTCGTGGAGGCGCGCGCTGTCCCCCTCCAACCCCGCAATCTCCTCGCGCAGGTCGCCCTCCCGCGCCGCGGCCGCGTCGCGTTCTGTCGCGGCCGCGATGCGCTCCGCCTTGAGCTGCGCGGCCGCTGCCGCCTCGACCATCTTGAGGCGGTCGGCTTCCTCCTCCAGTTCGGCAACCCAGGAGATTGCAGCGGCTAGCGAGCTCTCCAACTTCAACACCTGTACAAGAGGGCACGTGGCAGGAAGTGAAGCTTCATTGAGACTGGATCACCGGTGCACGTTGGCAGTGGCACCGAAGGCCCGATTGGCATTGCCGGAGTTTTCACGAAGGGATACAGAAGTTTGGAAAGCGTGTCCTGATTGCTGCCGCTTTCGGAGCAAGACAATGTTTCCCACTTGAAACATCACGTGTCGAATCGTCATTTTGTCAGAGTGTAGGGTTAGAAGGCACCAGATCAGATTCGCAGGTTCGAGACGCAGACTTCGCGAAGGAGGAACAAAAATTTGGATCGGTAGACTAGAACACCTCGAAGTACCAAGCTTAAAGCTCTGCCACCTCTCACCCGTGCCTCCGCGGCCGCCGCCGCCCTCTCGCTCTCGCGCGCGCGCTCCGCCAGCTGCGCCCTCTGCGCGGCCGCCGCGGGCCGCCCCTCCTCCAGAGCGCTCAGCGCCTCGTCGGCCATCCGCAGGAGCGCAGCGTGTTCGCGCTCCAACTGCGCAAGCTGCGCTGAGAGCGCCGCGCACTCCTGCTTCTTCGCCGCGAGGGCGACGCGGCAGTGCGCGAGGTCGTCCTCCAGCCCGGCACTGTGCGCGACGGCTTTCTCGCGCACCCTCTCCAGCTGGTCGGTGTCGAAGGGGGAAGAAGGCGAAGGGGGGCACGAAAAAGTCGTCTGTAGCCAAGACAAAGGGATGGCGTCAGATCAAATTGAAGTTTACTTACTCAAATAGTGACCTTTTTCAGACGGCGTCGACTTGATTATTCAGGGATGGACCGAGAACAGTCTGCTGTTGGCGTATCTCGGTGGGGCCTTCCATGCAGAGTCTTGCAGACAGCGCTGACCTGAAAAGACAGTAAGGCTACATCGACAGGGCCTGGTGCCTAGGCTAAATTGTGTTGGAATCCAAGTTCCGCAGCCTGGGCCGGAAGAAGGCGATGGTTTGACAGACCCCTTTAATGCAGGTCAAAATCCTTGTCTTTGTTGGGCGTCGAAAAACGGTCTTCGTTGGGCGTCGAATCAGTTTTCAGAAAATGCGTTTGAACATCACAGCAACGGGCGTATTTGAACACTATCCTCTACTGTGCCGATCCAAGGGCCCTTTACAATTCAGTATATGAACGAAGAGTGACAGCCTTTCAACGACGAGGTCCCGGACTTCAAGCGGGCCAGAAATCCTGGTCGAGGGGCCCACCTTGGCGCGGGCCAGCAGCGCGTCGTGCTGCTCCTTGAGCTGGCTCGCTGTCTCCGTCATGAGCAGCTGCGCTCGCTCTACCTCGCGCAACTTTTCGCCAGTTTCCTCGCGCAACTCGGCCAGGGATACGTCCGTCACATTTGCAAGTTGTTGGTGCCTGCAAAGGAGCATACGGGAGACTCAGGGCGCCATACCACGGACAGAGCCGACCTTATCATGCACTCAAATTTGCAACGACTTGATTTTGGGCCGGATCCTTGAATGCCATTCAAAGGGTCCTTTAGAATCATTCGGCAAGGCGAGGTCGATTGCAAACTCAAGCTACTCCGAACGTGAACGGAGAATTGATGCACTGATAAGGCGGGTTTGACCGCAAGTCGGAGCACGTTCACACAGAAACGGGGGCACAAGGACAAACGTGGCACAACCGTGAAACATCATGAGGTTGCAGCCTTCCGTGTGGAGTACTGCGGTGGAACCCGAGCACACTACTCTGATTACAACTCCAGCGCAATGCAACCCATCCTAAAGATTCTGGATTCAACGAGCGAAACATTTTTTTCGGAAGACTTCTATATGCTTTGCTCACGAGCAGTCAGGCCAACCGTCAGCCACTCGAAATGGTCAATCCCGCCTCACCTCGCGAGCAGCTTCTGGATGACAGCTGTTGCCCTCTCCATCTCCAGGACCGCCGGCTCGTGCACCTCCTGCGGCGTGCGCAGCAAATGTCCGCGCGCGTCGGTCGCCGCCCTCTTGTCGCCGCGCGCGCGCGCAATCTCCGCCGAGGGAGTCTGCACGGGCGCGGGCGTGGTGCCCGCGCGCGCCGCCAGCAAAGCGCGCTCGAGCTCGCGCGCAGTCTCCTGCTGAACAGCGCTCGCCGCCTCCGATAGTTCCACCTGGGAGCAAACGAAGGGGTCACTCGATCGGTCTGTGGAAATGCAACTCGACGCACCTTCTGCTGATTGAGTTTGAACCGAGGTGTGACACTTAGTACAAACCGGGCCACATCATCGACATCAAGATTTCGGGCCTTCGACAAGATGGGTATCAAGGGTGCGATCTACCTCTTTCATCCAAGCGGTCAAAACGTCCTAGCTCGGTCGAAGACGAGCGACGTCCAACTGTTTTCTTTCAGAAGTCGCTCTCCCGGCATTTTCACCCAGAGGGGTCAATGCAAATCCTCCTCACGGACTTATGCGGTACTCCACATTTCACTCCTGTTCTCACCTTCGTTTCTGCGGCCGCTGCAGCCTCCGCTCTGCTGACGACCGCCAGCGCCAGCTCCTCCTCCCGCGCGGCCGCCTCGCGGCTCTCGGCTTCCAGCGCGCGAATGGCTTCGTCCGCCGCCGACCGCAGGCCCGCGCGCGCGACTTCCACGTGGTTCAGGCGCGCTGCCAGCTCAGCGCGCTCGTGGCTCTGCGCCGCGACCTTGGTTTGCAGCTGCTCGATGTCCTGGAGCAGCCGCGCGTTCTCTGCGAGCGCGGTCTCCAGCGCAATCTGCTGCTGGACGAGGTCGACGGGGTGGGATGGAGACGCGGGCCCTGGAGTTGCCTGCTGAAGGATCAAGGAGATAAATCAGTATCAAATAAAATTACCCAGGGTTTGCGGAATTGTTTTTTGCCATTTTTTCCATTATGGTGACCTTCAGTTCGGCTGTTGCATAACTATCAGCTACCTCTCGACCATGGCGCAAGCTTCTCCGTTTGCGTTTTATATAAGTTGTGCTTCAACTGCTCCTCGCCGGATCTGAGCACCAGCTTTGTTTGTCCAGGAACTGACACGTAAGCATGATCTGGACTGGCTGCGTCCCCTTGACCGAGTCTTCCCTCGCTAATCTGCAATGACAGATCGAGCATGCGATGGAAGCTCTTCTGCAGGGCCTCAGAGCAACTTTCAAAAACACTTTACAGAAGTGCCACCAAGGCAGTCTCCCACCGTCACTCAAGCCGCTAGCCGTCTACCCACCTGCCGGTTATCCATAACCTTGATTAACCAGCCCTGTCATGTTTGCCTAGCACAGCAAAGGATGCAAGCAGGGCCATCTGCTGACACCGAAACATGCAGGCACCACTACACTTCTGTGAACCGACTATTGACTTTCCCGTCGCCCTGACCCAGAATTGAGTCTGCAACGCGACTCTTGAAGCGCAATCTGGGCTGACGTATGAGGCGCACCTTCTGTTCCGTACCTGAGTTGTCGAGGCGCCCTTTTTCCCGACCGTCGCTCCTTCCTCTTGCGCAGCCACCCCGTTCGCGCTGCACAGTTTCTTGTTGCCCATCCGTCGCCCAGCGTGGCCGAACTCGAGCTCCCGCCTAGCGGGGGTGTCCTTGACGGGGGTGGGCTTGACGGGGGTGGGCTTGACGGGCGCGTGCTTGGCGGGGGTCTGCTTGGTGCTGAGGTTCTTAGGGGGGGGCTGCAGCTGCCTGAAGGGGTTTGCCCCTGCTCTCTCCACGCCTGTCCGAGGGGTCGACTTCTCCACCGCCGATTTTGAGCGGTTCGAGGAGAGGGGAAGGCGGGAACCGGTGGGGCAGCGGGGCTGTTGGGGAGTGACCTCCGGGCGAGTGGGCTGGTAGGGGGGAGAGCGCGGTGCGTGGGCTCTAGTCAGGGGCGGCGAGGAGGTGAATCGGTTTGGCACGGGCGGTCTGATGGTGGACTGCATGATTGTGGAAAAGAGGAACCTTAGGGCCTCTCAGGACCAAAGTCTGAGCGACAGGAGAACGAACCACACTGAAACGATGATTGCTGTCTCTACCGAGAAATGACACATTTCGATGGCAGTTTCCTTTTGTCCGCACTCTGCTAAGTCGGCTGTCACCCTGAGCCATGCCAGCTGTCAAATCTGCTTTGCAAAGAAAGAGAGTAGGAAAGAGGAGCAACTTTACCCTTGCTTCAAACGAATAGGGCCAAAAGGGTCTAAAGGAACTTCACGTGTTATTTGCGGCGATCTGTGTTTGGATTTATTTTGAGAGAATCCAAAAGAAGGGATTCTACTGGCTGTCGCCTGTTACCTCAAGACAGATAGTGAAGCCTTGCATGCAACTCAAGTGCAACTCGAGGTGCCGAAGCGTAACTAGCACCGTTTTTTGACCTTTCAAGATGAGAGGGCCTGTCTGGGAGGGTCTCTAGGCTGATGATACATTCTCAGTATGAAAGCCTGTCTCAAGAAGTGTCGGAAACTTCGAACTTTCGCTAGACTGCACAACACAACCCGAATGCTGACCTCCTTTTCAGGCGCTGGGGATACTTGGCTCCCCGTTGGTCTTCTTCCTGTGTAGCTCCTTCCACTTTCAAATCCTCCCCTGGCTGGCTGCTCCCGTGAGTGCGGCGACAGCAGGGGCTGCTTGTCCTCATCCTGGGTCTGGCATGAAAGAAATAGGTGTCACTGATTCACCTTCTTGATGCAAATGTTGACTTTCCATGGTTGACAGAGAAGAATTAAGAACGTGATGTGATAATCGAGGGTTTCTCGAAAAGTGTCCCAATATGATCCGGATGCGTGCTGATTGTCTGTAGCCTACGAAAGCACCATATCAAACTCGACTTAACCTGGGTGGCAAGACTTTCTCTTGATGCTTGTTAAACAAACATGACCCAGAACTCTGTCTACGAAGGTCGTGGAAGGCCCTATTGATTGGTTCTGACAAGGCAAGCCTTATGAAACCACCTATGCTTGATTCATCAGGCAAGACATGCCTCAAGTGGGACAGTACAGGTGTCCTCTTGTCTGGCTTGATAATGACAGCTGTCCCTTCATCCTAGAAAGCCTCTGTCAAGCATGCTCTCAGGAAGTGTCAATGAAAGGAGCATTGCTTCTTCGCGTACTGCCAGCTGTCAAGGTGGACTTAGTAGACCAGAAACAATCCATCCTGCTTTTCATTCACCTTGCCAACAAGAATTCTTGTGATCCGAAAACTCATACGGCGGAGCGCCAGCTGTCGTCTACATTGCCACACAATTCTTTTGGGTTACGTCCCCGAAGTGCCCCAACCTTCTCACAGCCTCTTTCTCAACCTGGTTTGGACTTCTTCCCACAAGCAGCTTTGAGGACGTTTTCCACTTACCCCCTTGCCAAAACCCTGCACCGCTGCTCGCATCCTGGACATGCCCTTCTTGAGGAAACCGACGGCCTTGCCTTGGTCCCGTCCATGAGTTGCAAGGGCCACTGGTGAAGCCATGCTCTGCCAATGATGTAAGGCATTGGTGAGAAGGGGCTTCAAAATCAAGCATGCAACATGCGGAAGTTTCCGCCCTAAGCTTCAGTGTTCTAGTCATGGCAAGCCATGGCACTGGCGACAATCAAAACAGGCATCTGATGACAACGGAGATCAACAATGCCAAAGTCTGTGTGCATTATCAAAAGGTGACGCCAACCGCTTGGATTTCAGGAGTAGTATCACATGCTTCATGTCTGGAAGCAATGCCGTGAACAGTCATGGAAAAGCACTCATTTGCAAGCAAGCGCTCGTGCACATGGATAGAACTCTACCTTGAGCCACACATCAGCCTCGAGGCCTGGCTCGCCATTTCTGCCCCCCATCCTCGGCGGCGACTCTTCTTGCTTTCAAAGGCAACTGTCTATGTTCAAACCTCCTCAACGTCTCTCATCGGTATTGCGTTAGACGGGAGCAGTACTTGCCGTCTTTCAGCATGTCTTGGTCTTTAAATGCAGCATCCCGCTGCCAGCAGACCAGCGGTGAACAACTGCACCAACCCGTGGACAAGCTTCAGTTCAGGAAGACCAATGCTGTGGAATGGCAAAGCACATTTGCAGCCAACGCTCCTGCCTTCTTGCGCCTCAGCCGTGCTCTAAAACCTACTGTAGACATCATGATCAAACGCCTGGCGGGCGATATTGCTTGTTCTCCTGGACCAGCCCTGAATCGAGCCGTTGCATGATCGTCAGGGCCAGGGATCCCTGATTAAACGACCGTTCAACGCCGGCACCTACTTTTGTCAAGAAGTAGCGCTTCAGGCTCGGGAAAAGCAGTGCTGACCGTCCAGCAATTGCTGTTGCCAAGGGCCTGTTTCTCAAGCAAAGCCTTCAAGACGGAGTGCGGCCGGGTTTTGTCACCGCATGCATGTATGAGTGAAGTGCTGAGAGCTGGACAAGTCAGCATTCGACGTCGATATTTGCGGGGATCGAAACCTGGTTCACCTCCTGTCCCATTCAACCGCTCCGTACTTGCCGCGTCGAACCGTTGGTTGTATGGGGATCCCCATGGACTGATCAATTAGATCTGACGCTCCTGAGTCCGATGGCGGGATGAGCTGGCCAGTGTTTTGTTGCTTATCTTAGTGCTGGGGTCTCCAATGGCGCCCTTTGAAAGTGTCAATCACCAAAGGGAGAAGGAGACCTCTTGCAGAAGTCATTCTTCTACCCGGTTTCTGCTGACTCACATTGCTCACCACCATTAGACGATCCAACTTCAACCTTTGAAGACAGTTATGCTATGTTGCAGAGAGAACCGATTCCTGCAGTGGGCTAGTAGGTCTGGTGGCATCGCAGGTGTTAGATGAGATGAGGTGCTTTGATACAGTCCTTTCCCTGATCTTAGTCACTGAAGTGCATCAAGTCGATCCATCAAATTGAGGAAGCGATGGAAACAGGCCGTCTTTTCTGAACGAAAACCCCTTCAATTCAAAAGGATCTTGCAAGAGGAGTGAGCACAGGACGCAATCATTGGAGAAGGTCCCCGAGGTTTCATCTTCCAGGAGCACAGATGGCTTCGACCAGACGGGAATCAGCCTGCACGAGGGTGGACACAGGGTTGAAGGTGCGCAAAACATAAACGTGTTGTGTCACTCGCATTGAATATTGCGGCTCTTGATGCTCATGACTAGTAACAACAAGCAGAGTGATGGTGCAGACTGTACAAAGAGACCCTTCCAGGACCCGAGTCTGGAGTGCTGCTTCACCACCGCCTCCGCAAGGCTCTGCCAGTCCTTGAGGCTCTCATCTTGGTCAATCCCCTATTGGATTAAAAGTCCTCCCCATTCATATGGTTCAGAGTTGTTCTTGGCATTGTTCTTGCCTGCCTTTTGCGCATCCACTCAATACTGATTTGAGATTCACACCCTTTCGGTTGTGCAGGGCTTTGTCGCGGATGTCTTCGGAGGACAAAGTCAGGCTGGAAGACAGTCCCTCGGAAAAATAGTTAAGAAGGTCCCTGCAGCAACGACGAACGTCTGTAGACTGGTGGACATCGCGGAGGTGAGCATGGTCACAATGGGAATCTGGATCTTTCGTTTCCATCCTACAAGAGATCTTCCACACCAGATTAGAATTCCCGACCAACTTAACAGACGGATGATTTTGGATGGGAAATGCATGAAACAACACCTTTGTGACGAACAGCTGTCATCCACAATCGGTTATCAGGACAAAAGTTGACTTGGTCTGATATGATGACAGGTGTCGCCTCTGTTATCTTGGAGATCGTACATGGAGATGATGACAGGTGGCATGCAGACGTCGTCTTGATGTAGCGTCTGTCCCTTGCTGATGCACAGTTTCAAGGGCCAAAATGCGCTCTTTCAATAGAAGCGAGAGACCACAATATGTTTTCAATGGTGCAGTGACCTTCAAAGAAACCTATAGGGGGATGAGCAAATTGGAAGATTGGTATCCGGATCTTAGATATCAACAGAGGATCTTGATGTACATCAATGCTTGAATACCTTAAGAGATATGAGATCTTGACACTGCTTCTTGCATAGCAAAGACCCTCCATAGGAAACCCTCTACAGGAAGTTCTGTCTTCAACAAGAGGAAATTGCAGGTCTTGGTCGGCTTTAAGAAGATGCACGTCTAGAACACATCCCTTGCCTTTCACCAGGTGAAGAAGGGGCGGGAAGAAGCAGCAGAGACGGGGAACCAGTCAAGAATACCACGACAAAAGGTTTTGGACACGAGGCCTGCCTGGGGAAGCAGGCTGACACCTGGCAAGCAGGTCAGTGAAGCATGTGACTCCTCCAAAGTGCAGCTAAAGCTCCTGATTCCTTTACTCGAGACTACTCCCTTTCCAAGAGCTCAATGCTCTGGGCTATCATGCTGGCCTAAACCAACCGTGACTGGTAGCATTATTGTGCTGACTATATAACTGATTGACGTCTGTCAAGCCGGATCCATAGAATTAGTGCATGTTTGACAGATGGCCTTCCTTCGCTTCAATTTTCACATCTGATCAAGAACTGCTGAAACGAAATGCTGCTAGTAGAACTTTCAGAAAGGTACAGAAACAAGTGTACAGGAAAACCCTTTGAACAAGTGAGCTCGTCTATGTCTAGCGCTTCACATATGGGGGTCAGCTTAGACTCTCTTGTCAACATGTCTTTCCAGTGCTCTCCTTCGAACCTCTACCAGCTTCAAGGTTTTCTTCTATCTGTCTTGCAGCACCAGCGCAGCCCGGTTCGCGTAGGCCCCCCAAGCCGCCCCATCAGAACCGCACCGTCCCCTCTCTTGCCGCCTGCATCGCAAGTCTCGCTCCCCTTTCAACGCGGTCAGGCTCAGGGAACGACTGCACCCTCGTTGGCTCCCCAAGGCCCTCGCCGAACGCAGGGAGCAGCAATCCCCGCAGGAACAGCCCCCCCCGTAAAAAGGAGTCTCTTTTTCGCGCCAGCGCTGACATCGGGGCAAGGAGAGGATCGAGTCGAGGGGGCGGTTGCAGCAATGGTGTCGACAGACAACAGACACGCGAGGGCGAGGAGAGGAGAGGACCCGATAGCGACACCACAGAAGGAACAGGTAAACAAGCAATGAAAACGTTTCTACTCTGAAATGCAGACGTGCTTGGGGTGACCGGGGTGCTCGCTGCTTGTTGTGCCGGGATGACAGATGGAGTCGCTTGATGATGATGTGGCGGCAACAGCTGCAGAATGCGGGCGCTTGTTTCCAACTTTAAACTCTGTCTGCGAATTGTTTGACGAGCCAAGTGATTCCTGCGCGCATGCCAAAACCCCAACAAAGCGGTGTCTGAAGGTTAGATCAGGTTTGGGCCAGTCATGATGAACGCTTTTTACCAGGCTGAAAGCGCTTTCGGAGCGCGCTTACTCGATGCCGCAACAAGAGACGGTCGCAAACATATGGGGAGTGCGCCGTCCGACCACAATTTCGCGACTGATCCATTTTTTCCATCTCTATCTACAGACCAGCTTGGTCGCCCCCCCATCTCCCCGCTCGCCGCTCAACTTCTCCGAGTTCCACTCCGAGAGCTACATCGCCGACTCCGACGCCCCCAAGGTCTCTGCGGTCGCGCCGCAGACGGCACTGGAGCCAGATGCTGACATCAAGTACCGCGCGCCCCTGGAGGCGAAGCTCGCGCAGTCGCAGGCGGAGCGGGCCACGCTGCAGGCGGCCCTGGAGAAGGTGGAGCGCGGTCTGGACGGGGAGCGCCGTGCAAGAGTCGCCCTGGAGGAAGGGTTTTCGTGCGCGCTCCAAGGGAGTGTGAAGACGGCGGAGGCCGCGGAGGCGGAGGTGAGAGCGGCGGAGGATCTTCGTTGGTGAACAGGAGGGGTAGGTTTGGGTTGCGTCACATCGGAACTTTCACGAATTCTTGTTGATGAGACATGTGCTGTCTGCTCTTCATGGTTTCAGCATTGATTGTGATCTCCAACAAAAGTGTCTAGTCAGTTTGGCCAAGAGCAGGTTTTGGTAGCAACACATAGCGGGTGGTTGACAGGCATGGTCTCTTGGTCAAGATAGAAAGGAGCCGTTTCGGAGTGGCTTAGAAGCAATCAGCTCTTTCTTGCTGGGCAAATGATCGTAACAGAGGCATGACGCTCTGCTGAGAGCTTCGTAACACGCTTCGGAGAAAGCTCACGGAAGGTCTGGATTGTCATGAGCTGCCTGCACAGATCGCTCACCTATCAAACGCTTTGGTCACGTAAGAAAAGGGACCTAAAGTTCTCCTTAAGACAAAGTGTATTCGGATTTGCAGGCGCAAGAGGCGCGGCGCTCCCTGGCCGGGCGCATCATCCAACTCCAAGAGGCCCAGTCTGCAATAGCCGAAGGTAAGAGGGCTTTGGCCGGATCGAGAATTTCTTACCAAATGCATTTTACCACCAGAAAGGTACCGCAAGTAAGTTCAGAATCTGGTGTGATCAAGAATTTTATAGTTGTTCGTCACCAGATTTAGGAAGACCAAACGCTGGGTTCAGAGAAAGCCCACAGAATATATATGCTTCGTCTTTTCGGGGCACTCATTGCAGCAGCCACTGGAATGAGTTTGACGGAAGAGGGAAGGAGGGATTCGAGTCTTGTCGCTTTCGAAAAGCTCATCTCGTCAAAAGTTTTTTTTACGAAAGTCTTTGCAATTTTCAATTGCTGCTTAGCCGCCCGCTGAATGCTTTGCACGTCGAGCAAGTTGATAGACCGCTGAGGGGTGTGTTCCCTACTTTGTAGCGACCAACGAGCGGGTCGTAGCGGAGGCGCATGCGCAGGCCGCGCGCGAAGCGCTGGAGAGGGCGCGCGCGGAGCTGAGCATCGCGGCGGCTGAAAAGGAGGAGGCGCAGATGCGCGCGCGGACGGAGACGCTCAAGCGCCAGGAGGTGGAGGCACGGGTAAGCTATATTGATAGGTAGTTCTTTCTTTTGCGTGCGCAATGTGAGCCACTGAGGCGAATCTGTGCTGGTGTAGGATTCGATTAGACTCCGTTGACACGGTGCGAATCATGGAACGATCAATTGCCAAACCCAATTCCTGCAGGATATTCTTGAAAGAAGCTCTGGAGTTGCTTTTACTTGGAAAATGCAGAGCATAGCACTGGAAGGCCCATACGTGAGGGTTGATTTATAAAAGGACTGTTCGACTCGTCCCTTTGTGGGCGAAGTGCGTTCACACACCGTCATGCTTGACTGTGCACGCACCACTTCTTTCTGATTGTCTCGTGCATACTGCTGTTTATTCCTCGAACAACGAGCGACTTTTCAGCTGGCAACCGTCAGATTCCTGCCCATCAACAAATGCGTACTGCACCTGTCCAAAAGAAAGAGAGGACAACCCACAGAAAATAAGTTCAACGACGTTGTTCCCTGGCGTCATCAGAACGCCCTCTGACGTCATCAAAACGCGCTACTAGTCTACTCTGCGTTCAGGTCGAGATCATAGCCCGCGAGTGCACGGCTTTGCGCGCGTCCGTGACGGAAAAGCAGGCAGCACGGACGGCCGCGGCAGAGGAAGCGGAGTGGGGGCGCAGGCGCGCGAGCGAGGACGCCGGCGTGACGCTGCAGGCGGCCGCCGAGACCGTTGCGCGGCTGGAAGGAGAGCTGTCCCGTGCGCGGAGCGACGCGGCGGCCGCGGCGCGCGGGCTGGTGGAGGAGACGGACAAGCTGGACGCCGAGACGGCTAAGGTAAAATCCAGAGATCTAGGAGTAGCTCAGGCGGTCATGTGGCAGGCAGCTTCAGGTCCCTTTGAAAAGGTTGAGAGTCCGAGAGGTGGCACTATGCCAATCCAGTAGTGATCTTTTGTAACCTCCAAATCGTCCGTTGTCCTTTGTAGCGGTGTTCCATCTCTGTTCGTCGACAAAGGGCATTGGCGCTGTTCTCAATAAACTTTGTGCCTTTGAGACTCGCGCATCTCTTTCCTCCTCCCATCCGCTTGAAGTGCGTCATGTTCATCGAAACATCACTTCTTTGGTTTTACGTTGTTTACCACTAGTTTCTCCATTTCTAACCATCGTCATTTCGGCTTTGTAGGCCGAAGCGCTTGCCACTCAGCTCGAGCAAGCCCGGTTTGTCAGCCTCCAGTCTCACAACGACGCCGTCGCAGCCGCGACCAAGGAGCGCGCGTCGGCCCGGGCGCTCGTCGCCGAGGCAGAGGGGCGGCTCGCTGCGGACAGGCGGGCGGCCGCCGCAGAGAAGCAAGTCGCGGAGGTGCGCGGAATGATTCTTTCGTTCGAACATGTTAAGAGATTATTGCATACACCTGGACTTTGAAGAGTGAGAGAAACCTTCAGGATTATCAAATCGCTCCGTTGTTCGTGCTTGCTTATCAAGGCGGGAACACGTTTCAGAGGAATTATTTGAGCATTAGCCTCTTCAAGAGGAAGTGGAAACTGGTGAACGGTGTTCAGATTTTCAATCACCCATGACGTATCACAAACGCAGAGGTCACGAGCACACCAGCCGAAGAAAAGCATGCCAACCTTGCTTGCAACAGCACCAACAAAACCTTGGGAGTTTTCCAACACTTTTCCCAGAGCTAGAGGTATCAAGATCGAGTCTTATGTTACAGTCTTTTGATAACTGCTCTTGTGGCGTTTGTTGATAAACTCACCTCTTAATGATCTTTCCAGATAGAGCATTGGATGCACAAAACGAAAGATTTCTGCAACTTCGGAAGCGCGCCGCCTGAAGGCTCACCACAACCTACAGCGTTACGTACTTCGTTTTGATGTCAATTCTCCTCAAATTTAGTCCCAAATTTGGAAGTTCGGTTCCGCCTCTCGTCTTTTGTCCGCGCTCCCAACAGCCCTGACGCTGTTTTGAACGTTCCGGCCGCCCACTTCCGCAGGAGAGCGCGCAACGGAAGCTCGCGGAATGCAAGCTGAACGAGGCGGCCTCGAGGTGCGAAGCGGCGGAGTCGGAGTCGAGCGTGGCGAATGCGCGCGCCCAAAAAGCGGAGCTGCAGCGGGAGGAGGCGCGGAAGCAGCTCATGCACCAGGTCAGGACCGGACGTAACGCCGACTGCCTCTCTGTGTGACGTTACGTGAACATCCCCGTTGTTGCGTCTTCCAGAATATAGCTTCGACTTGAGCCTACTCTACAGGAGGAGAAAATACTCTGTATCAGACAAATTGCGACTTTCACAGATTGTGAGTCCGAGTTCGTCTTTCAAACATTCAATTTACTTGTACGTCAGGAGCTCTGCGGGACTTTTATCTTCACGATGAGGATCTCACGATCACCATACATAGGTCATTTCCTCGGCTTGTTGCTCATTGACCAACCTAGCTTTCTGCTTGCGCTACGTGTCGGTGTCTGCAGGCGACCTCGAATGCCCAGTCCCTGTTGCGTCCACCTCCCCCGTCACCGATCGCAAGCGACCCACGCGGCGCGTCAAATGGGCGACGAGACGGCTGCCGGAGAATTTCTTCAGCGTTACTGACACTCCGTCTTGTTGTCCACCGTCATTGCAGGTCCAGGCGACGCAGGCCGCGGAAACCGCGGCCGCTGTGCACGAGGCGGACCTCCGCTTCCAGCTCACCAACGCCACATCCGCGAGCGCCACGTGGCAGGCCGACGTGTACCGGCTGGATGCGTTGCTGGCGGCGGCGGAGTCGCAGCAGAAGGAGCTGACGGAACGGAAGGCGGCCTTGGAACGCCGTCTCGCGCAGTTGAAGAAGCAGGCTGACGCGGCCGCGGGCGGAGAGAGACGCGCTATGGAGGAGGCGGCCGCGGCGCGGGAGGAGGCGGCCGCGGCGCGGGAGGAGGCGGCCGTGGCACGACAGGAAACGGCCGCGGCACGACGGGAGGCGGCCGCGGCGCGGCAGGAAGCGGAGGCGGCGGCGCAGCGGGAGGCGGCGCTCAAGGCTGCATACGAGCAGCTGCAGTCGGAGGTAAGGATGGGCGCTAATAGATATGAAAGATGTACTCGGCCGATTGCGTGCTCGACATTTTGAAAAGGTAGACGATGTCCGGAAAGTCTTATGGGGGCTATTTGAGTGTCGAAGGTCGGAATACAGCAGTTCTGAACGGTAGACGCAGAGCATCAATTGCGCGGTCGGTCTCCTCTCGGAGGGGCAACGATTGTGGATAAAAAGCGAGCTCTTTCAGTACTCCTGTTCTGCTGCAAGTTTTTCGATCCCTCGTCCTCTTGTACCCCGCTCATATTTGCAGGCGCTCAGCATCTCATGCAAACCTTCTGAAAGTTTGAAGTGTCACGAGTACATCTGTTTTGGCTGCTCCTGTTGATCATTGTTGGGAGCCGTCGCTGTGATTTCTCATTTCTACTGCGAGCGTAGGTCTCTCACCTTATCCGATCAATTCTTTGATTGCTTCTTGCCATACAGATGATAGCGTCTGGGACCGTTTGATTGAAACTTTGTCAAGAAAGCGAATCCACAATGGTCAGCCCTCAGAGAAGCTAGGATTAGAGCTTGCTTACGGCACACATGCTGGTTCTGTCGCCTGTCGTCGTCTTAGATGCAGAGAGACGCAAATGATGCGAATGCGTTCCTTTGTCTGTAGTTGCGCGCTGCCCTGGCCGCGTCCGAAGAGAGCGCCACCACTCTTCGGGCCGAGCTCGATCAGGCCAACGCCACGTGGCAAGCGGAGCGCGTGCGAATCCAGGCGGAGCGGGACGAGGCCCTGTCAAATCATTGCAGCGGCCTGTCCGGCGGGCGCCACGTGGCGGGGCCAGATGCAGCGCCTGTCAGGGGAGCTGGCTGCGGTGGAAATGGAGAGGGAGGAGTTCCGAGAGGCCATTGACGCCCTGGACGAGCGGCTGACTGAGGCGGGGCGGGCCGAAGAGGCCGAAGCGGCGGCGGAACGGGAAGCAGAAATGGAGCGCAGCGTCGCGAGATTACAGTCGGAGGTGAGCGTATGATCGCTCCGGCAGATAAAGATGAAGCCTGGATCTGACTCCTTGAAGAGTCAAGCGGACATTCCAGAGGGAACGATAAGGAGACTGATAGCCTGACAGTGTCACGGAAGCTCAACCAGACTTAAAAACGAACTACAAAGCCTCTTCCAGCTTGCTCTAGGGCTTGTTTTATTTTCTTCATCGTTGTCTTGTGGCCTCGAGCTTTCTCGAGGCATGCGATTGCTGTTGATAGACTTGACCGACAACGAAAGGAAGCGGAGACTCACCGCCTGAATACATGACTATCGTCGAGCCGCATATGTTTGACTTCTGCAGTACCCTTGACGCTTCCATGTCGACAAAGTTTTTATCCTTGTGCCTATGCAGGTCGCCGCGCTGAAGCGGGACCTGGAGCAGGCCCGGGGACAGGCGCCGGGGGCCTCTGCCAAGAAGACGATCGCAGATCTCCACCGCAGCATCGACGGCATCAAGCAAAAGCTTGCACAAGCCGAGGTGAGGACGAGCTTCGTATAATTAATGTCGTGCCGAGATCACCAAGACCATCTCGACTTGCTTGATAAGCTACGTAAGGTACTGACGTGAGGTTAAAGCAAGCCTGATTTAGGTCGACTCAATGTTCTGTTCAGTTGGCACGTCAACAACACTTCGGAATGAGCCACTCGTGGATGTCTCCAAATCAACGCCGTGATAAGCGAGTTTTCTTGAACGGCTTCACGGATGTGTTTTTCCATCATTCATGCATGCATGCCCCAGATTGCGGCTGCTGACCTTTAGGTCTCTCTACCGTGCAGAGGGAAAAGGCTGAGATCGCGGACCAGGTTTACAAGTTGATGGGTGAGACTGCGGCGGAGCAGCGGCGGTTGCACAAGGAGGCGATGGCAGAGGCAGCGCGCACCGCCGCCCAGACTGCTGCCAAGCTTAATACCGACCTGGAGTTCGCAAAAGCCAAGATGCGAAGCCTGACGAAGAGCCAGGAGATTCTGGAAGAGGTAGGCCGACCTGAAGTTCCCGAGTCCGCTCCATTGTCATGCGTCTTTTGCGGATTCAACAAAAGGCTGAATGAATTCTACAAGGAAGTTTGGTGGGTGCTGTACATCTCCGTCTTATGACCGGGCCGCTGGCATCCCGTGTGGTGGAGATGTGGGAAATGATGAAGACTTGACAGTCCTGGTATGCAGTCTAAGATTCGTTGATGTTCTCATTGGGTGCGGGCGCCAACTATGTGCGCTCTGTACTAGCATCGCATTCCCCTAAATTGACGTACTATTGACACTCGTTGTATCCCTCTACAGGAGAACGTGCGCCTGACAGTGGCGATGAGTCACAGCGGTTCCGCCCAAAAGGCAGGTTTCTGGCCCACTTTAATCACTCTGCCTCTTTATCTTCTCTTTATCCTTGCTTTCCACCAAAGCAAGATTGTTCTTGGTTCTTAGAATCTACCGTGTCTTGCCCACTCTCGTGTCACTTTAGGGGTCAACAAGTGGTCCGAACGAACGGCAAATTTTCAAAGCAGGATCTGAAACAAGCGTCGTTCTTTCAGCAAAGCCTCCCACTAACGACCTGGGAATCAATTGTTTCTTCTGATATTGATGTTGTTTCTTCTGCGCAGTGGCTGGCGCAGGACCAGCGCATCAGGGACAGGCGGAGGTGAGCTTTGGGCCTGGTGCCTTTTCCGCCTCCATGTAGCAAGTGGATTTGTCGGCTGTGTGATCCTTGCAACCTTCTCGGCGCTTGTTTGATCCGTTCCTGCAGATCAGCTTCATCTGTTTCCTAGCCTCGAACAGGTGCCTGCGGGCGTGTTAAGTTTGCCACTTGCCACTTGACCACTTGTTCAGTCTGCTTGGACGGGTTCAGCAGCGAGAAAGGTGATCCGGAATGCTTTCCCGCGTTCAGGTGGATCAAATGCTCAAAAAGGAAGCAAAGAGGGCCAAAGAAGTATAAAGCACATCCGCGGTAAGCAAATCGTAAACCTCTCTTTGACGTTCTCGAGTCGATCATGTTCGAAGCCGAAAAAGCTCACCGTTTCTCGCTGTACGCAACCGTGAGCTTTCGACGGGGACTCGCCCACCCAGATTGATTTCTACTGAGCATGTGTCTGTGTGTTTTTCAGCGTTTGCTGACAGAATGTCGAATTCGAAACTCGTAGATTACTGCAACCACGCTTGAACTTGCAGCAAGTCGTTCGTAATTGTTTGACGTCGTCCCTTCTCTCGCAGCCCACCACGCCAACAGTAGAGGACTTGCCAGGCACCACATGGACTTTGTAATCTATTACAGCGCTTCGAACCGATACTTGACAAACCGAGATCAAGCATGAGAGAACAGCGTAAACTAGTCACGGTCGCCTGTTTGAACAGTGAAACAGTGCCTTTGGCTTTAAGATAACCACGAGAACTGCTGCAAATACTGACCGGAATTGCGAACGGGCCCCCGACTGTTTGTCAGCGCGACAGCTAGATAAAAGCTTAAGCACGAGAAATTAATTTCCCGCGCCCGGCAACGGAAGTATGTTGTGCCCTGTTCATGTAGTGTAAAAGTTTTGTTTGACGGCACGAAAGAGTAGGAAGGGAAGCGGGAAGTAGTCACAGGCGAAAAGGTTAAGTTCGAAAGAAGGTGAACGTTCTTTTGAACAGAGCGACAAATAGCAAAAAAAAAATCCTGAAATTTGCAGTTATGGCCACGTTTGCTTTTCTAGACGTATCACTGACACACCACTGACAGCTCCGTGTGATCTTACTGATTTGAGACTGGTAGGGAATCTCCAATCTGGCGACCGTCCGGACCGTGGTAATCTGTAATCATGTCAAACCAGCCTTATATCAGTGCGGCTTTGCGGGCCCGGGTTCTGACTGAGACATGCCGCTTGTGTCATTTGATCTATTACATCGTATAATAACATCTGCAAAATGATCATCATCTCATCTGCATACTAGAAAAATAACCCTATAGCTTGCATTCATGTTGTCTATGTCTATTGTCTGCTTGGAGCTGAAGTTACACAAAAGCAGCCGGCGCAAACTTTCCTATTCCCGCTTACCTATCCGGATGATCTGGTCATGCACCTTATACTAACGCATGTGCATGAATCCGATCAAGTACGTCGCATCATCATATATACCGTATATGAAGAGAAACATTGCATGAACCGTGATCAATCAAACGTACGGGGCGGCCCGGAACCGCATGGTCTTCCATGTGACTCTAGCTATACTACTAGATCCTCATGCATGGCCTGAGCGCACATGGTTATAGCTGGTCACCGATCGCACTCGAAACGCTGTCGACGATCAAGTTGAATAGCTTGTTCTTATATAGAAGAATCCATCATTTTCATGAAGCTTGATCATTGCCAGGCGGCCCCTAAATATATTGCGGCCACGCGGTATGGCAATACTTGATGTTAAAGAAAAGTGACATACACCGAAAACACATGGAGCTGTAACAATATTGTACCGTCCACCGGCGTGTCAGTGTTTAAATGCTGGCGCGCGATTCAAAGGTGGCACAAATGAAAACGTTGCTCACGTTTAGCACATATTCAATGGCGGTTCAAAACATACACTGTACTTATAACGATCAATCTACTACTGTCTGCATGCAAAGAAAGGCTGCCACTCTTAGACCTGGCCCTATAAGTGTTGCAACTACCTTTGACGCGTCAAAGACAAAATGCGGTTCGTCCAAAAACATCTACGATAGCTACGCAGATTCCTACGAGCCCATTCTATCAAAGGATCTAAGACTGGTTACTGATTAAATAAGCTTTCAAATAAGCTAAACTGTTCATTGCAACTATCAGTTTCTCTGTTTAAGTTATCTGTACATCGAGCGAGACCGGCATCTGCTGCAACAGAGTGCTTGGATCGATGCCCTTGCAGTCCCTTATTTCTAGCAAAGCTTTACTGCCGCACTTAGAATGAGCTCTCAACACACCAGGAGTGAGGCGCTCGTTGTTTTGCAGCCCTAGCCTCTTCAATTGTTGACAGTTACCTAGAATCTTTTCAACGGTAGTATCCGTCAGTTTAGGACAACCCATGATCAGCAATTCCTCCAAACCCACTTCCTCAGAGACGCGCCGCAGCACGGAGTCCAGGGTGTCGGTAAACCAGCCAAGTTTTAGTGTCTTCAATTGGAGACCAGACCTGCACCAAAAGGGCCAATTAAATGATGTTGAGTTGTTATCCTATTACCAAGGCCTCAGAAGAAGAGCTCTCCAATCAGGAGCATAACTCACTCAACCCGCAGCAGGCATTATTTAAGAAGAATCTAAAGACGAACCAATATTCAGTGCTGGTCACCTGACGAACTCTTTTAGCTGACAAACTCTTCCAAGATCAACGAATGTTACATCAAACAATATTGAACGCACCTGCTGCGAGGAACGAAGAAAAGCCAGGGGTTGTTGATTAGGCCCAAGGTCCGGAGCTGGTGGCAGCGCGACGTCAGAACAGACACTCCCTCGTCGCTGACGCCATGCTCGCACGAAAGCTCCACGCAAGACAGGCCGGGGCAGCCGGCAGCGAAAGCTTGGAGAGTCTTGTCTTTCACCCAGCTGGCGTGCAGAATGAGCTCCCTCAGCCCAGGGCACCTCTTTGCTATCTGCTCGAGGCCCTCAGCCAGAAGGTCGGTATCCTCTGACCCCATTCTAACGACAAGACGCACCAGTCCTGGGCAGGCTCCTGCGATTGATCCGATGCCGTCGTCAGTCACCGCGTCACAGGAGTCCAGCTCCAGCACCTCGAGCTTGCACCGGAGCCCCTCAAAGCCCCGCCCCCTGACTTTCGGACATTGTCTCAGGACCAGACTGCGCAATCCTGGACAACCCCTCAGCACCGCACCCAGCCCCGCATCAGAGAGAGCCCCGCAGCCTTTCACATCAAGCTGCTCCAACAGAGTCTGCCGAGCCAGGTGGTTCACAAAAGCATCGTCTGGGCACGCCACAGCAGCCTCATCCCAAATCTTGATGATCCTCAGCTGGGAGAAGCGGTGAAGCAGGACAGGCAACGCAGCACTGTGGGGGGCTCTCTCTAGAGTCATGGTGTGCCGCGCCTCGCTAGAAACTTCCAACCACTCGCGACACACTAGAGAACAAACCTTGAGGTGCGTGTTTGAGAGTTTCTGCAAGAATTCGTACACGCACCCCCTGTCCAGCCTCTCAAAGTGGCAGGCGTCTCCGCTGGGCTCTGCCAAAACCAAACTTTGAGACCTCCCACTGCCTGCACCCTCCTCTGTCCCCACCCGCAGGCAGTGCCCCCTCAGTGGCGCCACACAAGCCCCGCTCGCACAGCTCAGCGCTCGCAAGCAACTGTGAAGCAACCAGCTCGTCTTTCTCCAGAGCAGGGACCAACTCATCTGAACCATCATGTGTTTGTTCAGGTCCCTGCATCTGAGAGGCCTCCCCGCTGAAGGATGTGTGCGTGAGAAGCGAGGGAGCGCGAGCGGAAGTCAAATGACCATCCTGGCTGCTGGAAGGAGGGGGGCTCTGAGAGGCGCAGCAAGCCAGGCCAAATGCCAAAGATGATGACTCAGGGACCAGGCTGGAAAGAATGTCCTGGTTATGCTCAAGTCCCTGAGTCTCGTCAGAGGTCACCTCGCAAGTGTGCTGCTCCTGTGGAAGGGCGCTGCTTGCGAGGGCCTCAACAACCTGGCTGCTGGAGAGAGGAGAAGACTGCGAGAGGGGGGCGGACTCGCAGAGAGGGGAGAAGAGAGCCTCGCATGTGCCACCGGCAGCGTCTCCAGTAGCTCTGAAGACCTGGTGGGCAATCCTATCCCCGAGAGCAAAAGCCCCCTCGACTATCTCCCAGACCCGCTCCTCGAAAGGAGTCAAGCGGGAAAAGAACTCCATCTCTAACTAGCGGGGGCGCGCACACGCTAACAGCTGACTCTAGCTCTCTCGCTCACTGAACGCTGGAATGCACGTAAGCCAAAGCTCGCACAAGGGCGCCAAAAGCGCAAGAGCAAAACAAACTCGTGAAAGTTTGCACCCTCAGCAAACACAC